ATTAATTAGTACACCTTATGAATTATTTCACCTGAGAAAGTACTATAAAACTACAAGTTCCCAACTCTCTAACAAACCAATGGCCAAATCAAATGATAAATTGCTTTACATATATATATCAAAGAAAAAGTAAGGAGCTTTTTAAAAACCAAATTCCATAGATTAGGGCAGCAGGTTTCTTGAATAAATAAGCAGGAAACATACTACTCAAAATTGAACAACTCTTATCTTTAGGAATTTAAGTAGCAACTAAGATATAACAAGCTAGGCCCATGAACAGATTAAGAAGGATTTGTTTATGTTAATTAAGTTGTCCACATATGGATTGAATCGTATCAATAAATAAATAAACTACAAGTAAAAGAAATAATATTCGATCTGATTAAGTGATTAAACAAATTATAAGCAACAATAATTTATTATTCCCTACTGGAAAGTGTGGTTAGCAAAGCTTGGTACAAATCAATTGATGTATAAAGGGGTTGAAGAATCAAGTATATTTAGTTCCTCATGCGATTATGCTGGATTTTTACCAAATCTTAATTTAAATAGGATTTCTTGATTAACTTAATGCATTGTCAACACCATGATGTTATTGACATTTTGTACTCTACGAGCCTTAGAAAACATTGAGCCCAAATTTGAAATTCTGTTGTTCCAGCTACGCATTTGTTTGATTTGACCTATCATAACTTACAAAATCTAGCAACTACTTTTATACAAGTGATGGTAAATAATATGAGATCCTATTCATCCTTCAACGTTCGTCATCCGTGCATTAAGCTCTCGCTATATGAGGTCTACAAAGGATTGGATTACATTTGGGCCAAGTGTGTCATCCTCCTTACCAAGTATTGAAATCTTTTCCTCTCTTTGTGACACTCTCTAGTGGGCCTAAAATGAATATGCTAGGAGGCCCTATTTTGGAAACCCAACGGTGAATGTTCAAACCTTAGTAGGCCAATTAGAAATTTGGCTACTGATGTACTTATTAGTCAGAAATTTGCTTTCACTAGGGGTAGGTTATTAAGAACGTTATAAATTTTGTTCTCAATCTCTATAAGTAATGCAAAAAGGTTAAGAACGAAGAAATACTTACTTTCCTATTACTATTACCATTGTTGGTAACAAAGTGTCTTTTACTTTATTATGTACTTATTTCGTATGATATAATTCATCATTTCATTCAATTTTACTTGCTTGATAACTCTTTTCTCCGATGAGAGATAAAAATAATAATTAAAGAATTCAAAGCTGACAAAGATGTTAGGTTTGAGAAATGACTCAACAAAATATGATTATATTCACTTTGTGATATCTTAATCTGTTTTTGAGTTCGATTAAGTAAAAAGATATTTTCAAAAAAGAACACGAAGAAAGTAAAATATGAAAAAATATAAGGGCCTCGAGTGAAAAGATATTTCTAAAGAGCAAAGAGGGATTTCTAATCTAATAAGAAAATCCAAGCCAAATCCCCTTATCACTTCATTTTCCCCTCTTACAGTTGCCATGGCAGCTCTCAATCTTCCTTCTTTTTCCAAAACCTTAAACCCTAATTCTCAATTCCAAAACCTCCCTAAAACCCCAACTTTTCTTCTTTCTCTTTCCTACCCTTTTCTCACAACCTCTCTCTCTTCAATTCCACCCGCAAAAAATTCAAGATTCCCAGTTGTAAGAGCCATTTCTGATGGAGAATACTCTTCTAAGAGGAGCAGTAACAGTGACGAAAGGGAAACTATTATGTTACCTGGATGTGATTATAACCACTGGCTTATTGTCATGGAGTTCCCTAAAGACCCTGCTCCTACTAGAGAACAGATGATTGATACTTATCTTGACACTCTTGCCACCGTTCTTGGAAGGTTAGTTTCGTAATGTATTGTTATTTCTTGTTTTTATGGGCTTTAATTTGGGGTGGGGATTGGGGGGTTTGAGTATTGCTATGAAAGTTTTTATGTTGACAACTAGTTACTGAAGATATATGATTCTGAATATGTTTGATAATTTTCCTTAGTGATTGTATTCCTAGTTGTGTTATTTATGGTGACAGTTAGTTACAGAATTATTACTTGTAAACTGTGAACAAAGATGATATCTTTAGGCATAGATTGTCCAAATTGTGGACTTCAAGATAGTCCATCCCAAGAACTTGAAGATTAATCTTATGCTAATGAGTAAATCCAGTTTCTACTGTGAAAGTACCATTGATTAAGAGGGTGGCGGAGTTGTTGTTATTGACAAAGTAGTTACTGATAAAATTTTGGTAGGAGTTTGTAACTATATTGCTTTAGCAGGATAGACTATTTTCTTATTAACCAGCAGAGTTTTTGTTGGCTTGTTAATCTAAATTTTCTTATCAGTATGGAAGAGGCAAAGAAGAACATGTATGCCTTTAGTACTACCACTTACACTGGTTTTCAGTGCACTGTATCTGAAGAAACATCAGAGAAGTTTAAGGGTGAGTTCTTATTTCAACATATGAGATGCTGTACATCCAGTGTGGTGGCATTGACTCGTTCGTTTTTCTATTTGATATTCATTCTGTAGGTTTACCTGGAGTTCTGTGGGTCCTGCCTGATTCTTATATAGATGTGAAGAACAAGGACTATGGAGGTTAGAAATTTCTTCCTTTGAACTCAGTTTCACTTGTGATTCTACAGCGAGATAACCTCTATGTGGTTTCTTCTTTCAGGAGATAAGTACATCAATGGAGAAATAATCCCTTGTCAGTATCCTACTTACCAACCCAAGCAGGCTAACAGAACAAGAAGCAAGAGTAAAGCATATGTAAGAAGAAGAGATGGTCCTCCGCCTGAACGAACAAGACAAGCAGCAGCTCCCGAGTCTTCCTCCTAAAACTATAATGGTGCATTTTGTAAGTGCCTTTCTTTTTCTTGACGCTCACTAAAGAAACAGAGAACTCACAGTTTTATCCCATTTGTTGTGGTTGGCATAAAGTCAACCTTATGCGGCTGAATGGATTGAAATTTATTCTGTAGGAAAACCATACCCTATTCCACTGTTTATTTAGTTAAGCCTAATAAGTTCATTCTGTTGCTAATCTTCTATCTTTTTTGCCAGGGGTTTATCTGATCTTAGAGTCGACTTGCCATTTGGAAATGCCAATATATCATTCATAGTCTCATATTGGTGAGCAATTCAACAAAGATATGTTGGTGCTTAAAGGTTAGATGGAAATACACTGCTAGTCTAGGAGTTTGGTAGAATGCGTTTATTGTTTTATCTTTCCTCTAGACTAGCTTTCTGGTTGCATTATTGAGAATGAGAAAGAAAGCTGTGTCGGTATGTAATTTTGATCGTTACCAGGTTATTCTATGTTCAAAGCCTGAATATGTACGTGATGACTCATTATATTTTTCTGCTGGTTCATATATCTTGATGTTTGCTATGCTTACAAATTAGATCACGCAGATGATAGAAAGATGCACCTTCTTGGAAGGAAATTTACTTCTTAAAGTGAACGTAAATGTTGAATGAAGAAACTTAAATAGGAGGAAATGCAGCTGAAACCTAAGAAATTATGTTTATAGCGTTGTTACTTGCTAGTGAACTGCATGATGTCATTTACAGTAATTACAAAAGGAGCAACATAATGTTGTTCCTTTTGAGTTGCCCCCTCGAATTGCTTGGTTCACAAAACTTTTTGGGCAATGACGCAAGCCTGCAAGGGTTGGTGTAGCCTGTGTGTTAAGTTGGCTAGCTTTTGAAGTTCTTTTGCTTGTTGATGCAAGTTAATTATACTAAGCGCCGTAACACAGTACTTTTTCCCCCAAGGTAGGCCGACAAGGCACTGTATGAAGTTCCATTTTTTCTATTGAGCTCTACTAATGGTACAATTTCTGTAATTGAACTATGGTTCTGCAAAATCCCTGGTCAGTGAGACAGGGCTTTAAGCTAGATGTGACTCTATATGTGCCTTGGTCTGCAATACATGATTTAAAATATATGTTGAAGAGGAAGGTGTGATATTGTCCTCTTTTGTTCTTCCAACATAAATAATTTGGTTGACCTTTTTTTTATTTTAACATCTCCAGAATACCCAGGTAAAGTGCGTTTAACCAAAAACATCATGCAGTGTGCTCTTACAACCTTGTTGAAGTAGTCATATTGAACATATGTCATACTTGGAGGATTTTCTTCTAATATCTAAAAAATAGCAAACAAAAGACTCTTCATATTCTTATGGAGTATTACTTACATGTACTCATTTCAGATATGCAACTCGAGCCAAGTCCCATTTACATAGGTTGTAAAATATCACAGCAGCAAGGGGAGGTGACTTTTTATTAAAATCTTGATTGAGATGTTGAAATTTCGTAAGGGTCCACACTTAACCATGCTTCCACAACAGGGAAATCTAGATATTTTTTCCCTCAACCACCTTTCCCACGGAGCTATGGTTGATCTTTCTTTGTCAGAAAATTAAACTGTACACATAAAAGATTTTCTATCAATGTATATACAGTACTTAGATACTAAATTCACTTAGCTTTTCCATGTTTACCTGCTATTATGATTCTCAACTGCTCTTACTGAAAACTGTAGTTGTTTATATGTTAACGTACAAGAGTGATAAGAGTTTTAGGTTTATTTTACAGATCTTTTAAAAATACATTTAAAAGTAAATAAGTAACAACAACAATTGATATACACGTATTAACTACTACACATACAGACACAATACGTACCCATAAAGTAATCGGTGCAACTCAACGTGGCACTCTATATTACTCCACTCAGCCAGTAGCATTTTCAGGAAGGTGAGGTGAGCCGTCAATTTCATCAATCATGACGTGCTTGTCTAAGTGCATAACAATCACACACTTCTCTTTTATATATGTTCTTATCTGCTTACACTATTATACCATCATCCAAACCAACCACTTTACACTCCCATGTTCTTTTTTTCTACATTGCTGAATTTGTAACCATATACATTAGAGAATTACACATATGATAGAAAATTGAAGGTTCAATAGATGGCTTTCTATGGCTACAATGGTGATGCTGGTGAGTACCATTGGACTCCTAATTTCAATGTCTCTTATGATTATGATGCTTTTCCAATATCATATTCTTCCTATGAGCAAAGTACTAATTACAATTACTACTATACTACTCAAATACATCCAGAATTGAGTTACTCTGTACACAACTCTGTTGAGCCAAAACTAATCCAGTATGAAATTGGTCCTAATTCATTGGAAACAAGAACCATAGTTTCTTGTTATACCAAAGAACAGGATGACACTCAGTTTGATGAATATGATCCAACCCCTTATGGTGGTGGTTTTGATATGGCTCAAATCTATGGAAAACCCCTTCCTCCCTCAAATGAAATATGTCATCCTCCTTCGAGTCCCAAGTCTAATGGACTTCCATTACATGGTTTCGACTATGGATCAAATAATTCGCCCTATGTAAGCCACACCAATCAGCTAGAACAACCTCAAATTCAAAACAAAGAGAATGGTGTTAAAGATGAGCAAAAATCTTTATCTGGTGTGAAAGAAAAAACCAGTCTTGAAAAACCTGCTCAACAAGATGAAGATTTTGTAGTTGGTAATGGAAAAACAGGGGAAAAACCCATTCTTGAAAAACCAGTAGAACCCCTTCAACAAGATGAAGATTTTGTAGTTGGAAATGGGAGTATAGGGGAATATGGATATGATTATGGGAGGCAATTGCAACAAATTCCATATGGTTCAGGTTTGGAATCTATGGATTTATGTGAAAGCTTATTTGGTTACTGGCCTTGCATAGCTAAGGAAAACAAGAGAAGAAATTGTAACTGTGTAAATGTTGCTGAAGATAACAGCAGTAGCAGCAATGAACAATGGAAATGTACTGCAGATTATCTTTTTGGGAATCCTTATGGATATGGTGGTGATGGAAGAGATTGGGATTGTGTTTATAACAATCAAAGTTACTATTATCATCAGCAACAACTTTAATTTTATGAAGGATTGGTAAAAAAATACCTTATCCTTCAAATAATAAAATGATTTTTAAAATATGAATCTTGTCATAGTTAGGCTATGTAGCTTTTCCTTTTTCCCTTTTAGTCATTATCATTATTGCAACTGTTAATTTTATGGAATTACACTTTTTATCCCTCAATTATTAGTAACTTGCAATTATGGTACTTGATTATTAATTCCCTTTATATGTTTTATTTAGATTGTTTCTGAAATTAGATGTTACCCTCAAAATATGGATTAACAATATAAGTTTGACGAATAATTAAATGAATTAACAATAATAAATCATTATGTTTGAGAAGATCCGCAGATAGAAAGATTAAAAGTGCACATTTCAAATTTCAAGTTAAATGTACTTAATTAAAATTAAATTTTGTTGATATTAGAGGGACTAAGAGTGCAAATCTTCCTTCAGGTTATTTATCTAAATATCTTAAAACTCTCAACTAGAAGGAGAAATCCTTTTAAGAAACTTCTGAGCAGACATGAGAATAACTAATATGAGACGTTAATGGGACCAAAAAAAAAAGGTGAAAACAATATGATATAAAAAGCATTTCGTGTTCAGTTTGAGGATTTTTATTTAGAGGGTTCGGAAAATAAAAATATAATTTGCACATCCAATAAGAATCGACCCTGCAAACTGAGGATAACATTCGCACTCCAAGTTGCAGAGTCCAATATCACTAAGCTATCTCTCTTCTTTGATTGAGATGGTTCAAAATTAGTACGTATATATACAAAAATATTAAAAATCTATCTTATATATATCATATAATTTTTTGCTGAAGAGGTTTAGATGAATACCTTGTCACCCACGTAGGTACGCCTGTTCACGTAGAATCGAAAAGGACAAAAGACCATAAAATATAAAATAAAACTATATGGAGTGGTCTGAGAGCTGGAGCTCATAAGTTCACATCTTTACATAATTCAACTTTCGTGGAGCTACGTGTAGTTAACAATTTTTAAAACTCTAACCAAATAAAGGTGACTTTAGAAAATAAATATTAATTCATTGTCCTGCATATACATATATATAAATAAAATGTAGTATGGGTTTGGATAATATATGGTTTAAAATGGAAGAAAGAAAAAGAGTAGGGTAACTTGCATTGTTTGTCCCTCACTTATTAATAAATTTTAATTTTGATCCTATAATATTTAAATAAGCATATTAAACTTCAATTACCTAATATATGTGATTTTGTCCCTACATATAGAAAATATTTATTTTTAGACTATATTAAGAATTCAAATTTAACGTACTGATAATTGGACAGTTTTGCACTTAATAATTCGTTAGATTTGTAAAGATTCCGAGTAAGAAATATAAAAAATGCGCTTATCAAATAATTGACAATTAAATATGCTTAAAAAATTCTTAAGGTCCAAATCAAGATTTGTTGATATTTGAAGGGTTAAGTGTTTAGTGTTAACCATGCGAAATAAATTTCGCTTTAAAATCGCAAGTATATGAAGTTGACATGAAAAAGGAATATTGAGTAGTTGAGGTGTCTGAACAGAAATTTCAGTTTAAAAAGTTAAAAATGAGAGAAAAAAAACTATTATTTCAATGGAATACAATTTTTTCAATCCTTCACCGGTAATTTTAAGCACTGAAGTTCAATATTTGTAAATTATTGTAATAATAAAATCAACATTTTAAGTGTAAATTTCATATATGACATATATTATAATAATATTTTTGAGTTATAGCAGTAGAGTTAGACTTTCAAGTTATAATATTAAAAATTTCAGGTTCTAACAAATTATTAAAAAAAAAATGTTTTTAATAATTGAAAAAAGTTGTTTAAAAAAAAAAAAAAAACCGGAATTGATAGTAAAAAGGTAAAAAAATTGAAATTGTGGTGTTAATTTAATTTGAATTTAGTGTAGATAATTAATAATTGGCACGAAATAAGGGATCCAAACTAATTAAGATTATTTAGTATCCTTAATTCACTCAAATTAGTTAAAATCAAATAAAAATCAGATTTTATCTCTCTTTTTTTCAACGTTTCTCTCCCTTCATTGTTTCTTCACTGTTCTGCCAGAAAAAATTCTCAATATCGAGTAATTGAAGTTAATTTTTTATATTTGAAAAAAATTGATTTTGTTGTGATGGACAACAACGTATCAATATTAATTAAACATGGTGGAAGATGAGATCCTTCAAGTTAGTATTTATTATTGTTTATTGTTTGTTTTTAAATTACAGTGAAATGAAAAAAAAAATCATAAACCTGTAAATCGTCAATATATTTAAGGTGATATCACTTTTTGTTAACTGTTGTGAAATATATAGTATTAGTGATTTTTTGTTTTTGTGGTTGTTTTGAATACTGTTTTTTTTTCTTGAAGTATAAATTAAATGTTTATTTTTGAATGAATTTGATAGAATAAATGGAAAGAAGTTTGTATGAAAGTGTGTTCAGTAATCTATTAAAAAAGTTATTTAGAATTTTGACGAATTGTATGAAAAATGATTTAAGTTGATAATGAATTTGATAGAATAAATGAATTGAAATTTGTATGAAAGTGTGTTTAGTAATCTGTAAAAAAAAGTTATTTGGAAGTTTGACGAATTATATGACAAGTGTTTTAAGTTGGTATTAAATTTGTAATTTTAGTGTTTATATTAGTTTTGTCATTTCTGTATAAAGTTGTTTGATAGTAATGAAGTATTTGGTACGAGCGAAATGTATATATTTAGAATGAATGATGATTGTTGTATGAAATGTGTATTAAGTGGGTATGAAATGTGTATTAAGTGAGTTTGAAATGTGTATTTAGTGAGTATGAAAAGTGTTTTGCAATGTACTGTCTGAATGATATTTGTATGAAAAAATAAAGACAAGTGGGTATAATTTTATTGTTATTATAATAATTTTTATATATGAACCTATCACTTGCGAGAGTCCAAAGAGAACGGTAGGAAAACCGCAACTTGAACGTTGGAAGGGGTTTGCTGAGTGAAATTCAAAAGGTCTAAAGTTACCTGCAGTAGATGTCGTCAAGTTGGCCACAACAGGAAGACATGTTCAAATTATCCTGTGCAAAACTAATGACTGTTTATTTTGTTGGTTATATTAATGTTTTGTTTTGATATGAAACATAATTGGTTTGAAGTGCATTATAGCTTAGTGTTTAATATACTATTCATTCTTTATACACTGTTCATTCAATAATCATACATAATGCATACTGTTACAAATAAAATTTATTCTAATTTAAAGATATTGTATATAGTAGTGAAAATTATAAGAAGGTAATTATGGAGTTCATTTGGTATCCCGAGTATTTAATGTAAGTTATCATGAATATTAATTTGATTTTCAATTGGTGTCATATTATAAATAAAATTATAACAAACTGCATGCCAATTGTATTCATGTTTCATTCCAACTCTAGCTTAAGTTATGGTCATACACATATTAATCAAATTTAATTCAGTTTTCATTCAAACAACATGTGTAGAATAGAAAATAATCAAATGTGAAAACACAATTCATGCATGCCAATTGTATTCATGTTTCATTCCAACTCTAGCTTAAGTTATGGTCATACACATATTAATCAAATTTAATTCAGTTTTCATTCAAACAACATGTGTAGAATAGAAAATAATCAAATGTGAAAACACAATTCATGCATGCCAATTGTATTCATGTTTCATTCCAACTCTAGCTTAAGTTATGGTCATACACATATTAATCAAATTTAATTCAGTTTTCATTCAAACAACATGTGTAGAATAGAAAATAATCAAATGTGAAAACACAATTCATGCATGCCAATTGTATTCATGTTTCATTCCAACTCTAGCTTAAGTTATGGTCATACACATATTAATCAAATTTAATTCAGTTTTCATTCAAACAACATGTGTAGAATAGAAAATAATCAAATGTGAAAACACAATTCATGCATGCCAATTGTATTCATGTTTCATTCCAACTCTAGCTTAAGTTATGGTCATACACATATTAATCAAATTTAATTCAGTTTTCATTCAAACAACATGTGTAGAATAGAAAATAATCAAATGTGAAAACACAATTCATGCATGCCAATTGTATTCATGTTTCATTCCAACTCTAGCTTAAGTTATGGTCATACACATATTAATCAAATTTAATTCAGTTTTCATTCAAACAACATGTGTAGAATAGAAAATAATCAAATGTGAAAACACAATTCATGCATGCCAATTGTATTCATGTTTCATTCCAACTCTAGCTTAAGTTATGGTCATACACATATTAATCAAATTTAATTCAGTTTTCATTCAAACAACATGTGTAGAATAGAAAATAATCAAATGTGAAAACACAATTCATGCATGCCAATTGTATTCATGTTTCATTCCAACTCTAGCTTAAGTTATGGTCATACACATATTAATCAAATTTAATTCAGTTTTCATTCAAACAACATGTGTAGAATAGAAAATAATCAAATGTGAAAACACAATTCATAACATTTGTATATAAAAATCATATCACGATTCATACAATA